CCTATCCCCCTGTGTGCCTTGCCTCCCACGACTCATGCAAAATATTTCAAACTTTATTTGCATACTAAGAAATTAAAATATTTTCTGTAAGTTTTTCTGCTAGATAAACAAGTGTAAAAAGTAATGAGCCATATATTAATGCTTTGTTTTATTATGAATTATCAGCATACTATAATAAAAACAAACACTGTTCACTCTAAACTTTTATTAATGTGATTTAAATTATCTTTAAAATATCATTTACCTCTTTTTTGTATTAATGTCAGTACAATGTTTTTAATCCTGCTAAGCTAAAAGGCAGTCATTGTTTAAGTAATAAATGATTTTTTTAGAAATTTACATCAAAACGTTTGTTGCAAGGAATAAAACATTACCAAGGGAAATCCAGAAATTGGAAATATAGTTAATGAAAACCTAGGGAGTATCAGGAAAATGAACACAGTGTTTTGAGAGTTAAATAGATTAGAACAGTACTAATGCAGATTTAGATATTATGTTACGAGTCGTTTACTTTCAAATTAATATTATGTATTGGATGTTCCGCTACGTATAGATTTCTTAGTGTTATCTGTTGTATTACAGAAGTATATACAGCCTAGGGAGATGAATGCGTTTGTACATTCTTATTTGTTTTGTATAAGTTACGTTTGTTGACTAACGTTTAAATCTATGGAAAAACGAGCGCAGAAGATTTAATACATTGCATTATATATACTTATAGTGCATTGATACCTGTATATATGAATATATATATATATATGCTTATATGGTTTCTCTGGAAGTCAAAACTAAGACCGTCGTTATTCGAAACTACTGATGTTCTAGCTAAAGAAGTTACATGTTGCACTAAGTTTTGTAACTCCTAATTTACATTCCTCGTTCCTTTCGAAAAACTCTTAAATAGTTTTGCATTTCAAAACTTAATTTTGCACTTCCAAAATCAAATTGGCAATGAACGTAATCTAAGCGTTTCTAGCCGATTGCTATAGTTCAAATGTCCTATTCAAAATTCCGTCCTTATATATCAACCCATGAAATGATAGCTGAGACCAAATAGCTTACCCACCTTGAATAATTCAACCAACACACACCTTTCAACACCGACTACTGTTCATTTGACTTCATTGGTTGTACATAGATGACTAAGCAAAAAGTAACAACAAGCTGGAGCTGTGAGTAAAAGCCCAACCAGAATACTGCTCAGGGCTTTATATTTAAGTTTGTATCACTTACATATATGTATTACATGTATAGGTATCAGTATAAAGCTCGCGCAACAGCAAAATACTGCGAGTATCAAAACTGTAATTAGTAAATGGAGAACTTCATCTATGTTATCCAGTTTGACTTGTTTTGAAATGTAATGGAGAGCTTCATTAATGTTATCCAGTTTGACTTGATTTGAAATGTAACGGAGAGCTTCATTAATGTTATCCAGTTTGACTTGATTTTAAATGTAATGGAGAATGTCGTTTATATTATTCAGTTTATCTAGTTTTACATATTATTCGTTTTGCATGAACCTGAAGGCAAATTGCCCAAACATTAACTACAGTGCTAATAAAAAGTATAGTTTTTACCAACAACATCGGAAGGATATCTGTACAAATTAAATATTATTGTGGAATAATTTGTTGTTATTTATTGCATTTATTTATAGCCTACGTGTATTTTGTATAAAAAAATAAATATAATGAGTTTTATCAATAGATCAGATCTTATATCGTAGACTAGTCTTTTAGATAGTAACATTGAACCGCATAAGTAATATAACTGTGTCTTGAAAGTTAAGGTTGTTTGTCCCTCAGTTTTTTCTAATAAGATTATGTAAAATCTCAAACTGTTTGATCAGATAATTGTAGTGTAATAATTTAAACATTGAATAATTGGTCTTATACGTTTCTTAACAAGCAGCATCTGACTCAACTGCAGAATATATGACTATTTCGATAGTTGATAGGGTATCCCATTATATCCGGAAGCCTAAGAGTGAGGTACATAGCTGTGTAGGGCACATTCCAGGGTTCATTTTGATCTGAGTATTCATTACGGTCTTTCTATGCTATCAAAGGGGACCTCCCGCACGCTTTCGTCATGCTATTCCGCCTTCATTTTAGTACTTACCTCTCATATTTTCCTTGTAATATTCTTACACTTCAATGAGTTGCTGTTTGTAATTAAGCACAAAGCTACACAAAGGGCTATCTGTGCTCTGCACACCACGGGTATTGAAATTCGGTTTCTAGCGTTGTAAGTCCGCAGACATACCGCTGTGCCACTTCAGTGAGAAAAAAACAACAACATCGTACTCTTCATTCCTTACCTCATCTTGAATCGTTCTCCGTCGTATCATTGAGATTCGCACCACGCCAAATCGTCTTCATTCATTTCTACATTTGAGAGAAAGACGTTGGATGCATCTGTAAGTTTACCGTTCCTCTATCCAAACGTACTTATGTTAGGACGCTTGATAGCTACTCCTCTTCCGAAGACTCTCTCGCCTCTCTTACGAAAAACGTTTTGAGAAAATGTTGTGCCATCGTGATCGCAACCGTATTTGCTACACTTGTAACACCTAGGAAATTTTTTTACTTTACATTTCCGACCTCGTTTCCATCTCGACAAGAACAAATATTCAGAGATTCTAGTTGGTTGTCTCAGCAGTTACTCACAGGTTTCACAAAAAGTTTCGGAATGGTAATGCTCTATAGATAAGGTATTACAACAATGTCATGACCGCTGTCTGAATTAGGGTAAAAACAACAACAACAACAAACACCTAACTCTACTGACAAAAACCAATCATAATTTCTTTGGACGTTATCCAGTTACAGATCGGCGTGCTCCTTTGGATGTCTCATAAAATAATGAATATTCCTGTAGAATTCAGGGAAGAAAGAGTAAATGACGGATGTGGTGTAGAAAGTGCCTTATCTTTCTGCTACTTTGAGTCAGAGCTTGCTTGGCACCGTTCAGAAACTTAGATGAACTTGGAAACTGATTATATTCGTAAGAAACTTTATATATACAGCTACGTATGAGACAATTAAAATAAAGGTAATTATAAATCCTTAATAAAATGGCCAACTTTTCATTATGTCGTGTGACATATATCTAAATATGCGTATAATTTATATATATATATATATATATATAATGTTACGCTACAAAAATTAGCATTTCGCGATTTGAGCATGTCAAAATTATAAAAATACAAAATAGAGTTTGCTCAAACTGCGAAACGTAAAATACCACATAAGTAAAAACGAAACCGAAAAAATGGGACATCTGCTTACGTTTTTGTGTAAAACGATTGAAACTAATTGCAGTTCATGAACTGCAGTAACTCCAAGTACAATTCCCAAAAATAGCGAAGTGACATTTAATTTCAGCCTTTAATAATACTGACATACTCACATCGCAAAATAGTTATTTTCTCCATCAATGACCGAATCTTGAGATTGAGCGTAACATTTATAACTTTTAACTACTAAGCGAAAATGTTATCAATATAATAGTAACATCCCCAAATTCAGAAATGTATGTTTGAATTTCGCGCAAAGCTACACGAGGGCTATCTGCGCGATCCGTCCCCAATTTAGCAGTGTAAGACTAGAGGGAAGGCAGCTAGTCATTACCACCCACCGCCAACTCTTGGGCTACTCTTTTACCAGCGAAAAGTGGGATAGACCGTCACATTATAACGCCCCCACGGCTGAAAGGGCGAGCATGTTCGGTGGGACGGGGATTCAAACCCACGACCCGCAGATTGCGAGTCGAGTGCCCTAACAACCTGGCCATGCCGGGCCTTATCAGAAATGTATGTGTCGTAATTATCAATGTATTTGTAGATTAAATGTATTAATGATACGAGGTTTTCCTTGTCAGAGAAGGGCTATAAGTCATATCGCTCTTCGTTAAGCTTCTTCAAGTTCAAACTAAGCATGAAAAAACATGGCTAATAATGCAAGTATATATATAGCAACCGTGTCCACAAAATAAATGTTATTAATGTTTGGGTTCTGAAAATACTGGAACTTATAATGATCATTTAATACTTTAGTAACATATGAAAACTATAAATATATTCTCCATACGGTGAAAATATTTTACATAGCCTCAAATGTAAAACGATGCTAGTAATGACTAAAACAATAGGCTAAAATTCACCCATTTATAATAGTTTCCAAGAAAATTAATAACTAAACACAAGTTCTTAAATTAACGAATTCTGGATCAAGTGTTTCGTTTTTCTTTCCTAAGTGCTTATTTCAATACAAATATTCATGCAAATTATGGTGAATATAATGTAGTTATTCGAAAACAACAACAAAAACCCAAAACTTCAACAATATCCAGTTTTATTGGCTAAATAATGATTAATGTGTTTAAGCTTTAATGCGTATTATAGCAACATATACCCATATATTAAACTGTGTTTCTCTACAGCATTAAAAACTTCTACTACTTTCATTAATGAGCAAGTATTCTGATAAAAGAAGGTTTAACAGTTCGTCTGAATTTAATAACGATTCTTGCTAGTTTAAGTAGGAAGTAATTAACTGTAGAATGTTTTAGGAGAAGGACGCTGAACAAAGTGATATTATATAACTTTAATACCTTCTGTCTGGTATATGTTTTATATTGCGTCGATAATTACAAGTACAAAATAGGTATTACTTGTTAACACTAATACCACGACTGGAAGGGATAAACACAAATTGCGTTTAAATCTGAGTATTTCAAGAATACGTTTCATTATCCATAAAATTATTATTTTTGTAGATTTTATTTGTTATTGACCAAGCATTCTGATTCTTAGAAAATTGGCTTACACAGACAACGAACAAAGTAATCGTATTCACTTATGAAGAATGGATCGGTTAATGCGAAACGACTTGCTATAAAAATAATTAAACCAATACAATCCTTATTATTCCAGTTCTACCTACCATCCTTCCCTAAGTACAGAAAATAAATCTTCTACGGTTGCTGTTTCATCCGCTAGTACTGAAACACGTGATCCTGTACAGTACGTTATATATGTCACACAATCGCTAACTATGGAAAACGTGATCTAATTTTCATGAATGTTTCCACATTTTGAAACTGGAAGTGAATTTCGATTGAATACTATTTTCGTTTCAGTTCTAAAACAAGATAAGTCTTGACACTATTGTTTCTATTTAGCTGATATCAACAGCTTCATCTTAAACTGGATTGTATATAATGAAAGAGGTTCTTTTGTTTCCTCACTCAATCAACCTCTTCGCTTTCACCTTCCGGGTAAGTCAGAAGAGGATTATATTTGCTTATCACAAAACAATTTATTTGCTGGTTTACCTTAATTACAACGTAAACTGTTTACTGGAACAAAGTCTAAAAGAAAACGTAAGCGTTTCATTAGTGGTATTAGTTACTTATCGTTAGACAGTTCTATTAATCCTTTTTGAACTTCTGGAAAGGGGAGAGAGATATCGACCGATTGCGAAAACGAGAAATTGTTGTTTTAGTGGCTTAATTCCTCTTTGTTCAATGATTTATATGGGTATACAGAACGAGTGGAATCCGATATCTGTAATCTAATTCTAATTACGATCGCATCGTTTACCATTTAAATATTTTAGTTTGTTTGTATTATGACGAATCTATATCTGAAATAACAAGAACACAGGTTTAACTCATTTTCGATACTAACGAAGATGAAACCTATTAACTGGCTAATAAGTTCGAAACTTGGATATTAACTTGAGTTGTTTGTTTTAGCCCGAGAGAGAGAAAGAGAGATACACATAAAGTTATTCATATATTTCATGCAAATTCATGCATTTCATGAAAAGCTACGACGTCACTAATTTATGTTAACTTTTACAGACGTATATGTTTAGTTTTCGTAGCCAACACTGAAGCTACTTTCGACATTAAATGTCTTATATAGCCGTCTTTCGTTGGGTATTCTTTAAAATTTTGCGTAATTCTGTTTATTGTAGAAAAAAAAAACAACGTTTTCATCAATGACCTCCATCTGATTTTCTATTATACATCCAGTATCTATGTGTGAAAAACTGCCTCAATATCCTTTAAATAGTTATAACAACTCCAGTGTTTCTTTCATGTAATTTCACAGTTCTTTAATATGTTCTCTAAGCGAATGATATGTTACGTTTCATGTAAACAATACGCAACTATTTGAAGAGCAGAAAAAAGGTATATTACACTTGATATTTCCCTTTACTATCCGCTAACAAGAACATTTATTTTTTATTGTAGCAGAAGTTCTTGCTAAAGCAAGTTACGTTCTTCGGTGGATTGTCTTCACTTGGCTAATTAAAAAACTTTATATATATTCATATGTCAGAGCAGTTAACCTCTTCGTCTTTCTCCCTATAAAAAAGTTTCTGTTAATTGTCACCCGTATCTAGATGACAAGGAATAGTCAAGTTCGTTCTGATCCTTTTCTTGTCTTCGAAACGACGTCTTACAACATGTGAAACGACTTCTGAATTCCGTGTTGAATCTTTCCTGCAGTGATATAAACGCATCAGTAGCTTTCAGGTAACAAGAAATAAACATTTTGGTATATCTGTTTATCAGCAAATTAACGTAAACCATTTACTTTGTATTTGTTGGTTTAGTTAAATATAAATTCTATTGATAACCTGATTTGCTTGAAATCTTCGATTAAAATCTTAAAGTCACATTACAAACATAACACTGAAAAAAGGGCATGGAAAATGAAAAATATCACGGTAGTTCAGTCGTTTAAAATACTATGTACATCGTTATCTGCCCCACAAAACCGCCTCATTCTTTTCTGACACACACACACAGGCAGACAGATACAGATAAAGATGGTAACATCATTACATTTTGCTTATATTTGTTTGTTAAAAGTTTTCGGACTACATGTAACCAATTTGATATTCAACGCACTCGAAATGTAATATCTAAAGTCAAAGTCAAGAAGAATATAGCCTTCAATTTTCGTATTATCGTGATCAACAAGTATAAATTGAAAGTTAACAAAATTATGGATTTTTCCAGATTACTGCTTTCAAATTGACATCTCCAGACTTGCGTTGGTATGTAATTATGGTGAACGTATTTCACATTTTTTAATAATACCATTCTTAAAGAAGATGATTAGTTCCAGCTGAAAACATCTACACAATTCTATTGTGCTGTTAACAGTAAAATATTTGTGTCTTTATGACATCTATGCATTAAAGTAGCTTACGTTTATTAAGGTAAACTTGTCATGACTGTTTTTATTTTTTTTGTGAAATGGTTTGCTTTCATGTTGAAACTGGATTAAGCCATTTTGCTAACTCAGTAAAAATATTTTCAAAACAGTAAGTTTTTGAGCAACTTAAAGAGAACGAGCTCAAAAGTAAAGTTATTAAAAAGCATCGATTTTCTTATATTCACCATTATATATATATATAATTTGTGTGTGTGTGTGTTTGAAACGCATATTGTAATGTTTACATGCGTTTAGATTGACATTTCGATATACATACATTTTTAATCGATTGATTAAGATTATGACTAAATTTCACATCACTTCAAGAATCATTAGGAGCATCACTTGAATTTTCTAATCATTAGTGCCAGATTTGAAACATTCACCAGCTTACATGTACTTACATTGTAAATAGCGTACACGAAGGGATTATAACAGGAGTTGCTCATAGCCAACCAATGACAGCAGAACCAGATAACGTTGATGTACTTGTACCTGTCGAATAAAATTTTTAATAACCATGAACATGTCTGTATCAGGTCCTATAAATAAAAAGCAAAATATAATATAGGCACACCAACAATTTTAATTTTAGATTCAAATGTACTTTAACATGCATTGATCAAATTATTAACTCGCACGTTTTTATTTGCAGTTTCGGAGATCAGGGTGATAACACCTTTTACGTTATCAGTTTCTTGTAGAAACGTGTGTGTGTTTTGTTATAGCAAAGCCACATTGGTCTACTTGCTATGTCCACCGAGGGGAATCGAACACTTGATTTTAACGTTGTAAATCCGAATATTCACTGCTGTCTCACTGGGTGGACCTCGTAGAGAAGATTAACAAATCTTACGCTAAGAGTAGAAAAAAACAGAAAAAAACTTTTGTTGTCCCGTTTGCTACTACAAATATTCATTAGAAAATGTTAAGTTATAAGAATATATTATTGTGGGAAGTAAGGAACTTTAAAATATCGATTTATGAAAGTAATAAAACTGGCTTTTTAGAGCGATAAAATAGGCAAACTAGCCTAAGCGAACTTAAGGAAAGCACAGGTTTGTTTACAAGTGTAATTTCTTTGAATACTTACGTTCATGTAAGGATTTTTGTTACAATTTTAAGAAAATGCATAAGGTGCTACCAACAAACCAACGAGATCCAATTTTCAAGACCCCCCCCCCCCCAGTGGCACAGTTGTAGACTAACAACGCTAGAAACCGGATTTCGATACTCCTGGTGGGCTGAGCACAGATAGCCCATTGTGTAGCTTTGTGCTTAACTTCAAACATACACAAACCGATTTTCAAAAATTTAACTTTACATTTTCATTTATTCATGGGTTTTATTTTAGATCCTTAAGAAAGCTTAATTCACCCCATTAGCAATATAAATATAATATAAATGATATATTAATTGTTTATGATACTATGTCATGAAGACCACTAATTTCATAGTAGCCACCCCCACCCCAGTGGCTCAACGGTAAATTCGAAGAATTATAATGTTAAAAAAGCGGGTTTCGATATCCGTGGTGGATACAGTACAGTTAACTCGAAGCATCGAAAAATGTTTTCTATGTGTTAATAAAATAAGTTGTCGTGCTTGATACAGTAACTAACTGTCAACCAGAACTTACGATTTATTCAAAATTGTGGATTGACCATAAAAAGATGCTAAATCAATATTTAATGTAGCTAAATCATTTGTTGCTAAGATACCAGAATAAATGTTGTCACGAATCCCAGTATTCCTAGTGCACCAGAATATATGTTGTCACGAATCCCAGTAGTCCTAGGACACCAGAATAAATGTTGTTACGAATTCCAGTGTTCCTAATACGCAGGAATAAATATTGTAACGAAGCCCAGTGTTTCTAGTATACTAGAATAAACTTTGTTGCGAATTCTAGTATTCCTAAGACACCAGTATAAATGTTGTCACGAATTCCAGTACTCCTAAAATATCAAAATGAATATTGTCACAAATTCCAGTATTCCCAGGGTACCAAAATAAATCTTCTCAAGAATCCCAATATCCTTAGAATACCAGAATAATTGTTGTCATGAATTCCAGAGTTCCTAGGATACCAGGATAAATAGTGCTACGAATTCTAGATGAAACTGTGAATCCTTTCGTGTTTGACACCACTGTAGTGGAGACATTGTTGACCAATGCCTATTTTAAAAACTTGCAAGATAACATATGGAATTAATCAAACAAATATAATTTAAATACTTGTCACACACACACACACGCGCATATAAATATATATTTGTAATTTCGGGACAACTTGATCATTTGTACATTAGTTTTTACCTTATGGGTTCAGCTACAGTATGCTATACGAATTACTATAGATATTTAAATTTATTAGAGAAGGATAAATTTTAATAACTCTTTATAATGATGTTTCGTTAATCCGTCAACGTTAAGCAAATTATTTGATAAGGGATAAAGATTGTTTAAAAATGACTGATATGAATTGCTTGAAAACATTCATGACAGGTAAGTATCATCACAGAATTACATATGTGTCAAAATACCACCCAAACACAATGGATGTATCAAGAATACAGAGAAATGAAATGAAATTACCAAACTTTTAAAGGACGAGATATTTCAGATTTGAAATCATATCAATGTATTTACACTATTCAAAATAATTACTGGGATACTAAGAATTCTTTTATATTGTAGTTATGACAAGACACAATTATACTGTTACCAAATAATATTAATAACCCCCACCCGAGTTAATTATGGGATACTAAGAATATTTTTTATATTCTAGCTATGACAAGACACAATTATACTGTTACCAAATAATGTTAATACCCTCATCCGAGTTACTTTTAATGCAAAACAAGTGTCAGGTGGTCTGTCATATAATCTGCCGTCCGTATTTCGTTTATATAAAAATGTGATGAAAACAAAGTGTGCTCTCAGTTAGCAGTTTGAGCAACAGCGGTGTGAAAAAGAAATCCCGATTGATGATGATGAAACATGTAAGGACAACAAGAAAATCATTTAGACGTTTCCACGATTTTGAAGGTAATAGGTGGCTACATGCTGGTCAAATATTAAAAATATCTGCAAATTGGTTTCAAATCTAATAAAATGTGGTTAAAGGGATATGTATTCGCTTTCAGGTCACCAGTACACTTGGACATTTTTGACAACTCCTCAAGAGGACTACTAATTGTGGGCTTCAGTTTCCCAGATGAATAAACAGTTCAGAGGATAACATGGATTATATATCAACATGAAAACGGCGAGAAAGAAATTTCACAAGGAGTGGTCTTTTTATGCATACGACCAATGTTTCTCTATTTCTACCTAATGTTCAGTAAGATAAATAAATAATATATAAATTTGTCAAACAACATGGTAGCGAGTGTCTTGTTCGCAGGTGGATCCTGCTTTGTATTGCAGCCGGATACGAGACGTGTACACATTTGGGGAGCAGCTCCCAGGGCCTTAATTTACCCAACTATCACGGAGGAGGGATACAAAAATGGCTGTGGTAACATACTGGTTTGGGAAGGAATTAATACTGATGGCCGCACTGACTTTTATTTGATATGGCATGACGTAAGGATGCCACAAATAGAGAGATGCTGTCTCAGAGCGATTGCATTTGCATTATGCAGATACGGTTGGAATGACAACCTTCTAATGGTTGACATTATGCTGTATTGTTTAGCTATTCTCTGGAAGAAGATGGCATTGAACGAATGAACTGGTTTGTTTGCTCAACGGAATTGAATCTGATTGAATACGTATTAAATGCTTTAGGAAGACACTTGAAATCATATGATTCGTCTCCAAGCAGTTTTGATGAACCGAAAGCAACTGTGATGGAGTAGTGAGCCATCCTTATTCCAGATACTTTTTATTCACTTGCTATATCAATGTATGACTTGCATTAGTATCCGAAGTGGTCATGCGTCTCGTTAACAAACATTTTAAGGTCAATTACTGAGCTATAAACTTTGTTTGTTTGAAGTTAAGCACAAAGCTACACAATGGGCTATCTGTGCTCTGCCCACCACGGGTATCGAAACCCGGTTTCTAGCGTTGTAACTCCACAGAGAGCTCTAAACTCTGTGGTACCAATTGAGTATATGGGGAAGTGGTCTCTAATAGTTATATATTTGCAAATCACATGACTGGTCACTTAACATTTGTTTTGTAAATAAAGTCAAGGGCGCCATTGACATTATTTAAAAAATAGTTGGTTGTGAACTGTCATAGCTAGAATATAGAAAACAATTATTACTTGATTACTTGGAACAAAGTATATTTTGTTTCTTATAATTTTTAATTATAATAGTAGCTAGAATATAGAAAACAATTATTACTTGATTACTTGGAACAAAGTATATTTTGTTTCTTATAATTTTTAATTGATTTCTGTGACTGTGCATAATATTCTCTGATCACAGATGTTGCCAAATTATATTTATCTTGTAATTCATAGTAAGCCATAATATTAAGTTTTGTTTGTTTTGAATTTCGCGCAAAGCTACATGAGGGCTATCTGCGCTAGCCGTCCCTAATTTAAAAGTGTGAGACTAGAGGGAAGGCAGCTAGTCATCACCGCCAACTCTTGGACTACTCTTTTACCAACGAATAGTGGGATTGACCGTCACATTATAACGCCCAGACGGCTGAAAGGGCGAGCATGTTTGGTGTGACAGGGATTTGAACCCGCGACCCTCAGATTACGAGTCGAGTGCCTTAACCACCTGGCCATGCCGGGCCGGATAATATTAAGTACATTACTAATTAAAACGTTCTCACAGAGCAAAAAGGTAATTTAAATAACACTGTTATTTAAACATACACTGATTTCGTTAAGATTGAGGGTATGTAGAAAAGCAAAACGACTAATGAAAATGTAGATATATTGAATTTTTTTTATTATAGCTATAGATAAAATTTCTCAAGAGAGGCAATTGTTAATAGATAAAGTGTAATTGAAATAATTTCAGAAAAACAACAAAATAACAATTAAGGTTTAGTTTTACGTTCAATAATGGTAGTACTCTGTCTTTCGCAGATATAATGTATTATGGTGCTGTGTTAAATCTGTAATCAGTCAACTAAATTGTGTCTGTGTACTTGTAAAGAAAATAAAAACACATCATTAAATTACGTTTTGTATACATGACACATAAGTTAAAGCTGCTATAAAAAGGCGAAGTATTGTGCTAGGTTGTCATTGGTCGAGATTTATTCTGTACCATAATTTTAGTTGTTTCACGGGTAAACTAACATTTTAGGAAATAGAAGATAAACGTATGTTTTTATATGTTAACCGTAGTGACATAGAATTTGTAGTTACTAGGTATTTGATTAACATTAGTGTGAAGCATTATTTGAATTGTCATGTTACATGAGAAGGCAGGAATGTGTTACCGAGTTGTTTAAATTAGGATGATTAATGTAACTACAGCTGAATGAGAACCAATAAAGTTTATATATATATATACGTGAACATCCCTAAAAATGCTGCTTTCTAACACGTGTATACTTGAGCTGACGACTGTCTGTAAACGTCAAGCTTTCGACAATAAAGCTCTCATGAGTTACAGTCATAGCTCCGTTATTATGGTATGGAAAAACGAGATTTATATAAACTGTAGCTTTCCGAAATATAAAAGAAACAGATTTATAATGAAAGATAACAAATATTTTCGCGTCTGTTTACTAAAAGTCATAAAATATAAATGATATATTACAAGCAGTGTAGTTTTTTTATGTCCAGGCGTTGTCCACGTCTACCTGGATGTTTGATATATGTGCGTGTACATAATGCTTTTACAAGTGTGTTCTAGAAATTTAAAGATTACACAGGCCTTCGACGGTTTTATTTTCAGGAAATGTTTACATGTTTTATAATAATTCCTGTACGCTGATATCCATTTTCCCAATCGCGTGCAGATTTCCTACAAAACGTCATAACGCAATACATAAAAGAACGTTTTGAGACTGAAACACGTAGATTTCACACAAAAAATCAGGGTCAATGAGGATGAATATTCGTTTGACATCAATGTTATTCCCTTTTCATTTGTTTATATTTTTGTTAAAAACAATAATAATAAAATATGTTCATTGTGGTAAACGAAATAATAATTTGTTCTGAGTAATTGTTTTTTATTTCCCGATTTGTAAAAAATTCTTACGTGATAGAAAAAAAAATTAATATTAATTTCGAAATCTGCGAAGCTGAATTATAGAAAATCCATTATTAAAACCAAAACAACTTTTATGAAGTGTAAATTCGCAGGCCTGTGTTATTGGCATTTCTCGCACAGAACGTTTCTAGTATGCTGTTATTTTAGAAAGTTGTTTGGGGGATAATGCATATGGCATTTGGTGGGTAATAAATTCGTATTTATTTATTAATACAATAATTTAAATGGCACATTAATAGGCCATGAAAGACCAACTTAAGGTAACAGAGGGCCCGCATGGCCAGGTGGTTAGGGCGCTCGACTCGCAATCTATGGGTCGCGGGTTCGAATCCCCATCACACCAACATGCTCGCCTTTTCAGCCGTGGGGGCGATATGACGTGACGTTCAATCCCACTATTTGTTGGTAAAAGAGTAGCCCAAGAGTTGGCGGTGGGTGGTGATGACTAGCTGCCTTCCCTCTAGTCTTACACTGCTAAATTAGAGATGGCTAGCGCAGATGGGCCTGGTGTAGCTTTGCGCGAAATCCGTAACAAACAAACGAACAAGGTAACAGAGGTGGTCTCAGTTTGCCTGTCTTGTATTTCTTTAACTATATTATAATTTTTAAGAACTAATAAGTTATCTATTGGGTGTTGTGGTAGATTAATTTTAGTGTAAGTTAAAGTATGTCTACTATAATATCAGTACAAAACAAAAATTGTATAAAGAAAGTTTACTGCTATGTCCACAACTGTCCTGGAACAGCGTATGGTGATATGAATCGAGAGGTTTAGCCACTTGAGCTCCAACCCCTTACTGAATTTATAATGCAAGTCTACTAGCTTTTCACTTGTATTTAGTAGATACTGATAAAACACTTCTTGAATGCTATCACTACAGGTACCTATTTGTAGAGTTTTACCTTTTGCAGTTCGTGAAAATATGTTGTTTTTTGTATTTCGTGGGTGACCTTTAATATACTCATGCCTTCATCACTATTTTCCAATGTTGATTCGTCGCTCACCGATAGCTGGTTTTTACACAGCTTTTTGTTAATGTATATATTTATACACATACACACAGTACTATTAACCAGGAGTAATTATATTTGATATTTAAAAACACATTTTGAGTCAGTAATTAAATACTTCTTAGGTATATACTAGGCTACGTAGTTCTATTTTTCATTTTTTTTCTATTTATTATTCATTTGTGTGTTGAAAACGTTTATAATTTCTAACAAGGTACAAACTTATAAGAGGTTAGATTGCTTTGTTCTTCTTTGAAGACTTCATAGTTTATAATATTACGGTGTGTATAACACTATATTAAATATGAGTACGTTATATCAAATCGATTTTGGAGGCTCATCTTGTCTTTACAGTCCAGACATACTTTTTCTGACCACCGTGTATCTTGTCAATAGCCTGCGGCGTAATTTCCATTTCACAAGGCTTCCTTAAGGTTGTCGTGTCTAAAGTATACCACTCATCTCTGCCTGCTTTCCACAAATTACCTAGTGTGCGAGTGGTCTGATCACTCACAAATCCAAAAGTACTGCGTCTGGCAACTTGACCGCTATGTCTTCATTCTTCGTATAGAATAGTATGAATACCTGTTTTATCCTTCATATGTTTGAGGCATTCAACGGTTGACAGGGAGGTATGGATGGAAGACTTATCTTGATCAACCCACATCCTGTTGATCTCGTTTCCAGTCGGAGATTCTTTTTTATTATGGTTAGTACTGTTGTCTTGGGCACGTGAACAGCTTTTGCCACCGACTTTTGTGTTCCCGGATTTTCACCTGTTACAAGACGCCACACTTTGCTTACCACGGCTGTGCCACGACTAGTTACAGGTCTCTTTCTAGATGGTTCTGTTTCCATAAAGTTTTGCTACCGAAAATTATCACTTTGGGAAAGGGTATGTAACAGCCCTTTCCGCCACAAAATATCCATACACTCATATCATAAAAAATGTGTTAAGATCGTTGATTTAGAATTTCCAGGAAGATGATGTCGTTGTATTTAATGTCATTGTAAAACAGCACACTACCCACATAACGTCTAATGTTACCAAAATTTAGTTGTGATACAATTCGTTCCACCGTGATTTTTTATCGGTTGTCGTTGTCGCGTGACTTACTGGTTTGTATATTCAAAATAATTTTGATATAAAGCACTCAACCTTATGTATAATTGATAATTTTTAAGTGTAACTATTTCACGCACTAGAATTTTCCAAAATTCAACACTAATTCATTAATTCAAACATTATAAAAAAATTTAGTATTAAAATGAAAAAAATACTTCCAGGGTTGCATTGAAATCTCCATTTTCCAAGGAAAAATACTTACTCGTTGATTGCAGGGTAGACTTCTTGTAAAATATTGTATGTTTGGAATGGTAACCAACATATGGTAAACACAGCTACCACGATGAACAGCATTTTGATAACCTAAAAAATAACAACAAAAAATAGAAGACAAATGATATTTATTGAAAAAAATCGCTTTATCAAGAACATTCTAAATCGATATCTAATCCATGATTTTGTTTGATTATTATAGTACTTCTGGCAAATTTCCGATATATACTTCCAGGGTCGAGGGTGCGTATAGGAAAGCTTCAGTTTGAGCTCGTTATAAAAGTGACAGTTAATCTGATGTAGGCGATGGGTGTTGCTAGCTTGTTGTCTTCCTTCTGATCAGCAGTTATAAGTTAGTAACGGATATATCTAATCCTTAAAGCTTCTGATTTGATCCTTTAAGCCGAGTGTCGTTTAAAGTACCGTTTAGGCTGAAAATAATATATTATATTACAATTAAGAAACTTCGATAAAACTAGTAAAACAGATAAACACAGAATTAATTTTCATAAGTCAAAGTCTGAGGAAGATTCAAAAACGTTTCACTGCATCTTATTATGTAGTAAGTTTAATATAAACATCTCAAATATAAGGAAGGCTCAAAAAGACTTAAAGAAAAATTACGACCAAGTAAATGTGCAGCAACTTATCCATCTATATTTGATCGCTTAACTAAAACCCATCTTCCACCAAACATTCGTTACAATAAAAAGCAATTAATAAAAATAAAACAGATGAATCGATCATGGTAGTCCTGTAACAGAAATTGAAACGGATTCCAGAGCAAAACATTTCAAGGACTGTGAACATTATAGGTGCAAAATACTTTAAAAACACACCTTACCTATCGAAAAAGAAAAAAAAAGTACAGATCCAATATCTATCTGTTTATCTATTTATTATAAGATATCTTTGTCTACTTGCTCTTAATAACCCGAAGCGTGAAATTAAATCTTTCATGTAAGAGACAATTCTCAAGCCTTGGCTTTTTTTTTTATCATACTTGAACGCCATCTATCATGTGAAACTAGACAAGATTGTACGTCCACTTGTTGATCAGTTTTCAAGTTTCGTTGCGTTCATTCTTATTGTTGTCCACGAGACACTATCTATACCCATCAGGTTGAGTGTTGTTTTCACAACAAACTAATCAATTTACGGAAGATAACACGCCATCTTGGAACTCTTCCTCTTTCCTAACAAGCTTAAGAGTTTTTGTAGTTTCTTTTCCTTTTTTACTTCTTTACTGTTAGCGTGAACAAAGACACTTCAAATCAATGAAAAATAAACATCCTTTACTAAATAATTACTTTTAGTAGTAGAATGAGATGTAAAAATAATATTTCCAATTCATTAATTAATTTGTGATGTAATTTATTTTGTAATCCATCATTACGTTGGCTCATTGCTTATACAAAACATAGGAGAATCTGGCATGACTACTTGATTTTACCTTCATATTTCCTTTGGCGGAAGGTGATTTTTAATTCTTATTTTACTTTTATCGCCCAGTAAGATACAACATAGTAGAGCTCACGAAAAAAACGAATAATCCATCTAAACAGATTTAAAAAGCATTAAACAATACATATTATGTTTGAGTCACTCAATTAAAGTACTCAATAAAATCTCAACTGTACACGCAGTTTCGAATCTTACTAGCGTACAGCAGCTTAATAAATAGATAAATATTTTAAGCATACAATATTTCGGAGGTTTCATACTTCAATGATAAAAATGTTCACAAATTGCACAGCTATTTCAAAACTGTTTCCTCTTTTTTGTTTTTTTTTGTTTTTGGTATTTGATGGTGTATTGAACTACGTTTTTGGTTAAACTATAAATTACAATTACGCGCATCACAGAAGAGGAAAGCTAGCTTGAGTGACTTGGAAAAATTCGGAAGTTTTACCTGGCAGTTTCTCAGTGATTAATCACGGTTTTATGTTTGAAATGTGTTAAGGAAACATTGTCTTGGCACAAGCACGTTTATATAGCGATGTTCTACTAATATATGAAAAACCTGTGTGACTAAAAACGATGAGCTTATAAGTTTCATGAGTTCATTTGCAAAATAAGAAAAAAAATGGTTGTTGTTATGCATAGAGCTAACGATATATTATCTGAGCTATGCCTACCGCGAGTATCGAAACCAATTTGAGCGTTATAAGCCCACTCTCATACCGTTGAGCCACTGGGTAGTGGGAGGGGGCAGTAGGTGTGTATAGATTATTTCAGAATATGTTTAATAGATTCAGTTTACTGTATATATATATATATACTTAAGATATCGTTGTTAGTTCATTTCACAAATCTTAAAAAGTATAGTCTTCAGATATCAGCAGTTTAGCAATAGAAATGTTTTTCAATCCCCGACTTTACGCTCTCATTTCATTGTCAAATAATAATAAGCCCGTTCCTCCCATCTTTTTTCTCCTTTATAGTTACCTATTTCTTAACGGTATTCTGGTTTCACGTAAATAAAATAAGAACACGAAATTGACAAGAGATCGATATTGTATACGCTCTTGTGATTCTATACCTAACACCATTACTTCAACTTTTTTTCTCTTTCTGTAGTCGTTCATCTGTTTGTCGTTTTTATACTTCTCGCTTGCAGTTATAAAATATAAATTCTCGTTACTTTTTCTTTTAATTTTATTCCACTTTAATCTTTCATTGTTATCTCATCCTTTAACTCCTACCTTAACTTTCAGATTTCGTCGCTTAATAAGATTTCACCACAGACTTATTACAATACGGTATACGTAATAACGTTTGAATATACGTAATACAGAGTCAAACTTCTATGAAAAAATATAGTCTGTTTGTTTGATACAAGTCATTGTGGGTAAAAGTTTTTCACTGCAAGTGTTTTAAAAATATTAAAACATACTTTGTGAATTTCGTACTTAAGAACTCAGTTAAAGGATATATGAACATAAACACTAATTTTAAAATGAAACACACGTACATTAAGTTCATAAGTTTAATTGTACAAGATAATCGAGCAATCATTTCTAATTCGGTCTCATTTAAATTTTCTTAAAATAATTTTTCCGTTTCCACAATAAACCTCTTTTTTAATATAATTATTTTTTTCTGAGTTCAATAATTTAATTTTGAGACAAATTTAATTGTAATTAGGTTTACAGAGCTTGGCATCCATTTTTCATTTTGAAATAAATTGTATAATTTTTTTTTTGCAAATTAATTAATAAAAGTCAAACTAGATATAATTTCCTTTTTTTTATTATTAATGTATATTATATGCATTTTAAAGAGATGGCCATTTAAAATATAGAATTTTCTTTATATCCAGTTTGTATATTTACTTTAATAAAGCATATTATATAAAGCAGCTAGTCATCACCACCCACCGCCAACTCTTGGGCTACTCTTTTACCAACGAATAGTGGGATTGACCGTCACATTATAACGCCCCCACGGCTGAAAGAGCGAGCATGTTTGGTGTAACGGTGAATCGAACACGCGACCCGCAGATTGCGAGTCGAGCGCCCTAACAACCTGGGCATGCCGGGTCCAGCTTAATTAGACTTTGTGTTTTTGTTTGAAACTATGTTATGGCAATTAGTGAAGAAAATTTGGAATTCAGGAAAGAATACAAGCCCTCTAGTCTTACACTGCTAAATTAGGGACGGCTAGCGCAGATAGCCCTCGTGTAGCTTTGCGCGAAATTTAAAACAAACAAACAATTCGTACTCCAGCCTTGGTAAGCAACGTGCAATATGCCGCAACAGATGAGAAACGAGTATTTATGGTATTCCATACGAATACAAGCCGATCATGTCGCCGGACGCAACGCTTATGGACTTTTGTATTTGAAGAAATCGGCTTCTTCGTAAACTAGATGAATTATGGATTGCATGACAGCTTTTTGTCATAGGAACTACTCTTCAGGATTGTTATCATAATTCACGGTCGTCAGATATATCATGCTTGACGTGGCGACGTGAATTGTAACAAGGGGTGACGTTCCACAATCGTTTTAATATAACGTATTGACCCTTTGTACTTAGTAAAACTTACTTTCAAAAGGCAATTGAATATCAAAAAAGGAATATCTGGAAAGACAATTTGAAACTTAATCGTAAAACAAAATGAGTCAATAAAACAACATTTTATTTTTAGAAATATAGAATTAAAACAACTTTAATTAAGTAAACTGACAGAGAATTAGATCATGAGACTCACACCTAAACGGTTAAAACAATTTCTCGCACCTCAGTGTTCTATTTCCTTACTTTCAAAATATTAATTTTGTTGCATTTTTTCAGGCTTAAGAATCGTTACCCTTCATGATTTAGTCCAAAAAACTCCGAATAAGCCTGTAGAACTACAAATATTGGCATTACAATATCAGAATATACGTATTGTCATATTAGGCTTATCTTCTGCGAATATTTAACACTCTTAAAATTTCGAAACATGATAACAATGGAAATAAAACTTCTATCCAAAAACGTATAATAGAACTATCAAACGTGTTGTTTAATGATTTATATATTTACCCATGGCTTTGCATAATCCTGAACATCTTTATATTCGGACAGCAGAATATGATTGTCTAACACGATAGATCATACAGAGAAAACAACTTCCGCTGCCTCAAATAACATTATTTTTCACGATCCTAGCAACACCTAATACACTTGATTTCAAACTGTTTGTTTGTTGTTAAGCGCAAAGCTACATAATGGGTTATTTGTGCTCTGCCCACGACGGATATCGAAACCCGGTTTCTAGCATTGTAAGTCCGCGGACATACCGCTGTGCCACTGGGCGGCGATTCCAAACTGAAGTATGCCACTTGTTGTCATCATAAATAAATTTCTTAAGAGCAATTTACTTAAGTACCATTTGGACCAAGCTACGTTTCTATTATACCTTAATGGTCAAAAAGAAACAAATACTAAACATTTTAATATTAAAAAGACCTTGAATATTTAAATGTTGAGATATTTTTAAAGAAAACTTTAGGAAATTCAATGTTTTTTTATGAAACATTTTTTTTTTCAAAACAATTTACGTTTTACGAAACATTTTTGCATGATGGAAAGAAATTAAAA